GCACGTAGTTCTTTAGCTTGTTTGTTTTAATTTTACATGAATCACAATTACATGTATGTAAGTATAGAAACTTACAGCAGAAAAAAAATCATGGAAATAAGTTTCTTAAATTTTCTCTCTCAGACACAGCAGATCCTACAGTGAGATAAAGCAGGCAATCTATTCAAGCTGGTTATGCTAGAGATAGGAGAGTTAATGGGCTTGTTTAATGATAAGAGTTTTCCATCGGGAAGTCTGGAGTGCTTAAATTATAGTATTTATCTTCAGGTGTAGATGCAACATGCAAGATGTTGTCCTGTTTCCAAATTACAGTGTTAGCTGCCCCTTTGTCCATTTTCAGAAATTGGTTCTTACCTGTTTCAGACAAAGAAATCCTTGATCTCAGGAGTGTATAATATGTGCATTTCCACCAAAGAATGTCTCCTGATTTTCTTCATAGAAATAAAAAATAGGCCCTTTCATTTCATTTTCTTTCCCAGATACAAAAGACAAGAATCCACTCCTGTCATTTTAATTCAAGCAGAAAAGTCATCATAGGAGAAAGAGCTTCCCCATTACTGTGGTTCAGTGCAAATTGCAGCCTCTTGAACCTCATTTCCTTGGGTTGGTTTGCTTGCTTGCTAACCAGTTACCACCAATGACAAGTTCACTTGCTATTTAGCCTGCAGGCACCATAATAACAATGTGGAGACATTGAAAACATGCTGGGAGAAACTTTTATAAACATCACTTACTGCTGACTTGAAGATAAACTGGCTTGACAGCTAAACTTTCTTCATGTGCAAGTTATACCAAATGGAACATGATTTATTAAAACATCGCTTATTTCAGTGGGCTGTGAAGGAGCGGATCAAATGTTCTTTTATCTTAGAATTCTGTATCAAGAAATGTTTACAAACCTCCTCAACTGGCTCTTTCTTTAGTTCTTTTTCTATAAACAGCATCTTTTCTCAATTATCTGCTTAACTGTAATCTATAAAATCACTCTAGTTAAAGTAAACCATATGTATTTCATAAAAGTATGTATGTGTGACATATGTAGGCTAAGTTCCTTGGCCAGCTTAAGTGTTCTCTCCATCAGGCCCAAGGGTGAAGAGAAAGTGATGGCCACCTGCCATTTTTCCATTCTCTGTGCCTGGACTAACCTTAGAAAAATCTAACTTCATGATGTAATGGAGACAAGGAAAGAACTCTATTAGTCTCAGCTTCCCAAATGTAAATTAAATAAAAGAGCCATTTGGCTCCCCAAACTCAAACAGTGAGGTTGAAAAGACTTACATCATCGACACATCAGGAATGAAAGTTATTCGGAACTCAGCAAATTCTTCCCTAGCTGAGATATTAAACGTGGAGGCTGAAGGTTGAAATGGACTCTTTCCCCATAACTGGGACAGAATTCATGGCAATACCTCCTGTCCATGTGCCCCCTAAAATGATGGTAGTATAATCCCCACTCTGTTGTCTAATTGCCTTGTTACAGACTTTTTGTTAATCAACTTTTTAAAATGCTGACAAAATAATTCTGAATCAAAGATCTGAACAAATTTCCTACCCATTACCTGCTCTGATCAGTTTTTAATAATGTCGTACCAGTGGTGGGATTCAAATTTTTTTTACTACCGGTTCTGTGGGTGTGGCTTGGTGGGCATGGCAGGGCTTGGTGGGTGTGGCTTGGTGGTCATGGCAAGGGAAGGATACTGTTAAATCTCCATTCCCTCCCCACTCCAGGGAAGGTTACTGCAAAATCTCCATTCCCTCCCCCCTCTTGGGGGAAGGTTACCGCCGGTACTCCGAACTACTCAAAATTCCCGCTACCAGTTCTCCAGAACTGGTCAGAACCTGCTGAATACCACCTCTGTGTCATACAATTTATTTGACCTACATGTTCCTTAGTAACATCACAAAGAATACTAATGTAAGCATATTAAAAGTTTCTATATGGTCTGATTTTAATCAGCTTCTCACAGAAGCCTATCAAAGTAATATTGCCACTCTTCGTAAACAGCTGCTGGGCATCCTGGTTTCCATGGTCTTGGAGGATGGACAATGAGGAGACTCTGGAAAGTCCTTCAAGTAACAGGAGACTGCATGAAGCTAATCTTGCTCCCCCTTGCACAGCGAGTCCCACTTTTAGTGAAATGGGTCAGTTACAATGTGATTTCTATGGTTTAATGAGGTTAACAGGACAGAGCTATTTAAAAGAATCTGAATATAAGTAGTCCTCGACTTACAACAATTCATTTAGTGACCGTTCAAAGTTACAACAGCAGTGAAAAAAGTGACTCAGAACTGTTTTTTCCTACATAGGACCGTTGCAGCCTCCCCATGGTCGTGTGATCAAAATTTAGGTGCTTGGCAACTGGTGCGTATTCCAGTGTCCTGGGGTCATCTGACCACCTTTCTGACAAGCAAAGTCAATGAGAAACCCAGATTCACTTAGCAGCCCTGTCACTAATTTAACAATTGCAGTCATTCGTTTAACAAATGTGGCCAGAAAGGTCATAAAATGGAGCAAAACTCACTTTACAAAGTTTGGGTTCAATTGTGGTTGTAAGTTGAGGTTGTTCAATTGTGATTGTAAGTTGAATTCTTTATTTTTTATTGACCAGGTGTGACAAGGAATTTGCATGTATTTTTTCATTTTTGAGAATATACCTAAAAAAGTGATTATTTTGAGATGAAATTAACCATTAGGTAATCTAGTTTATCATACCATTGACTAGCATGGACATTTATTAAGCCAAATAGGGTGGGATTGCCATAGAATAATGATAAATCCCCATTTCAAAACCTGGGGAAATATTATCTTTTAAAATAAGCAAACAACTCAGCCAGTCTGTAAGTTATTTTATATTGTAACCAGACATAGGTCGATGTAATGGTTCTTATTTCACAAAAATCTACCGAAGAACTTGGGTCTCCTCAAATTGCAAATGAAAACTTCACTTTTCACAAGAAGGACATTTGTCTGCTTACAAGCCCTCTGCTATGGTATTTATAGTATAGTATAGTTGCAGTGAGTTCTCAGTAGATAAAGTAGATAAAGTTTGCAATAATATTGTGAACCATAATTGTTTCTCAGGAAATATGGGTTATGCATGAGAAGCCTGTGGTTACATTTTACAAACTCACATCTCCATCAAGCTAAAAGCTTCTTCTGTTAGGTTCTGCGATACCTTTGGGAGAAATTCATTTCCTGATTTATAGTTCAGCAGCTGTCATTTCTTGGCTGCTTAATTTGAAAATAAGTATAAAAACATTTTTGTGTTGATGTGTTACAGTTGATGTGTTAGTTTTGTAGACACAAAACATTGATCAAGGTATATTTCTGCAAATCATTTTAACAATTATTATTTAACAGAACAAAAAGAATGTTTAAAGTCTTTTGTAGCAAAAACAAGAGTCTTCTTGTACCTTAAAGACTAATAACACTTTACCTCATATACCCATGAAATAATGTATGTCAGTCTTTAAATGCCTTTGTGGTTTTAATTGTTTTTTTAAGCAATCAAACAAACAAACCCAACTCACTGAGCAGCTGGCCAATTTATGGGGTTTGACATTTGCAGTCTGTGAATCTCAGTCCTTGTTGTGGCTTTGTGTCATCATCCAGCATAACGACCAAACTGTACTTTAACCCAAGTCTATCTTTATCCGAATTGCAGCTATTTTTCTTTTTAACTTCGTGCTAAAGTCATTTAGATACAGGACTATGGGATAATATTCATGGCCTTGCCCTGGAGTTTCTGAATTGAATTCCATTCATGGGTTTCTCCTGTTGGAGGAGAGGAAGGCAAATGGTCACACACACCCCCTTTTTTTTTTCATTCAGAAGCTTTTTGAAAAGTTGCTCCCGAGGGCTTTATTTCCAGTTCCTTTCCTAACATTGGATAATATGAATTTAATCTTTCTTCCAGATGTTCCTCAACAGGTTGCTCTTTGCCACATTTTGACTAGTTCACACATATTGCAGTCACTATCCATTCAGGCCTATTGAGATGGAATACATAAACTTTTACAGCAAAGACTTGTTCTTTTATGCACTTGATAATATAATATGTAACAGACATCGGCCAGAAGAAGATCATGGTAAACTGCTACCATACTGTTGTCAACAAGACAACATGGGCATATCAGTGAAGTCACGAGGAGCTAAACTCAATTCACACAAGTGGAATCTTTGTCTACTTTGAAGATGCCTGCAGTGTTTTAATTCATTGCCTTCTGCTTTCTCCTTATAGTCCTTTAATATGGCTTTTCGTTCTCATATCATCTAATGTCCCAACTTTGCCCGGCTGGTTATTGTTTGAGTTGCAGTTTAATGCATATTGAGTTTAGGAATCCATTTCATTTTGTTGTAGCCACTGCCTTCTGTTTTTCACACCTCATTTACAGTCCCATGGAACTGTAGAGACATAAACAAAGGCAATGACGAGGGTGTAAAATCAGCAGTATTTGGAAGACCCAGACTGAATTATGATCTCATGGACGTATGGAATGAGTCACTATTGTGTCTTCAGTTCCCCTTTCCTAAAATGGGAATAGTGACTTCCTTATGGATTAACAATATACTCCCCCCCCCCACTTTGCAGTCATCATCTCATTTGGGTTGCAGACTCATGTACTTTTAATGCCTGATGTAGGGAGGGGGCAAGAGCTACCAGCTGAACTTCCCGGACAGATCAACTCTCTTGCCAGATAAGTGGTAGAGAGCGGACGGTATCCAAGTATGGATTTCCTCCGACTCGCCTCCCTCCAGTCTTCCCGTCCTAGTTTCCCAAGTCCCAGTTCAGCTTCAGCCCCTCTGAGAGCTTCAGGTGACTGCAAGTCCTGCTTTCACCGTCTCCCTCTTCATTCCTTGCTTTGCCTTGCGGGCAAGGTTGCTCAGTTGGGTCGGGAAGTCAGCCGCGCCCCGTCCAGCCCCGTGCCGCCCAAATAGGGCCTGTCTCTGCTCCCCACCCCACCCCCACCTCGCCCCGTCCAGCCTCCTCGCTCACGCTCTTATTTAACGGCGGCTCTTTCCTTTCTTCGAGCCTGCCGTTTCCCCGTCCGGCTCTGCCCCGTTTGCTCGCCTGGGACTGTCGAGTCAGTCGCCGATCTCTCAGCTTCGGGGACTCCTTCGCGATGCGCACCGGGCTGCTTTTCTCCTTGGCGCTGTCTCTGTGGTTCACCAATGCCTGGTCGGCCAGCCGAGCCCCTTACCAACAGATCTTGCAGCACAGCCGAATCCGGGGCAGGCATCAAGGGTAAGGCGACCGAGGAGGGAAGGCAGCGAAGGGACCGGGAGTGCTCTGGACGTGGGGGGAGCCATTCAGCCCACCTCATGCCTCTTACTTTCTTTGGGGGCTGGGTGGGTTGGGGGCTTGGAAAGAGGCTTGATACAGCTCTCTTGGAATGGGTGGCACAGACGGGGCGGTCACAAGCCCGAATGCGGCGTGGGTGGGGTGTGTGTGGGGGTGTTTTTCTGGGTTTAGTTGCCATTAATTTCCTAGAGGAAAGAGGAAACTTTCTTGGGAACCGGGCTGCCCCGATCGCCTTATTCCACTTCAAGTAGCCAAATCCTTCAGCAGTTCAAAAATGCTCCCCGCAGACTTTCTTTCTTTCTTTTTCTTTTTTGCCAACGAGGGAAAAACTAGCAAATGGTCGATAGGGCTGATTGTTTGGATCCTGGTACAGAGAAGTCAAAGGTCACTGGGGAAACAAAGACTTTTTCTTTGCCAAAGACTGTCCCTCCCCAACAGACATGCCCCAAAATCAACTCAAATGATATCCTTTATTATTGAACCAATCGGGTAAGATGCATAAGAACGAGCAAATTTCGAGTCAAAGAGCTGAATCCCGCCCAGATGAAAGTCCAGCGTGGCTTGAAAGTTTGCTGATTTTTAAGACTTAGTGCTTAACAGTAAGAAAGTAAATGCTGTCCCATGGACACATGTCTCTCTGTATGAGCCTCTGATCGTTTTTTATTTTTTTTAAAGGTATTTTTGTGTTCTAAGTAACACAACCAGTCAGGCGTGTAAATAAGATTTGTCTTGCACCAAAGGTTGCTTAGCACAGTGATTCCAGGGCTTTTTCCTATTCCTGTCACTTTTTAAAACTTTTCTCAGCATACAGCACTGGTTTTGTTCTCCCTAGATGTGATGAATGGATCTTTGTTCAGATCTATGCTCTGTGATATCACAAATGCCTGTGTTGGGGTCAGGCATCCTAGTCAACTTGAAGTCCTTCAGAAGATTTTTTTTTGAAGATTGTGGGTTAGCAGCAAAGGCTGGTGAAACTTGTAATTTCGAAAAAGGGTAGCAGGTTGTCTATCTTTGATATATATGAAAACACAGTTCTTAGTGTAAAATATGTCAAATGGTTTGGTCCTGAAGACAGGATCTCTTCACTCATCTCCTAATGCGTGCACAGGGCTAAGTAAGAATAAAGATGCTGTTTTCTACACTCCTTTTTCTTTCTTTCCCAATGCAAACATTCAAAATAATTAGTAAGAGGAATCATTGCCAGATCCCTAACATGGGATCCCCCAGGGTTATGATCTAGTGTCAAAACTGGCTTGAATTTCAACATTTTGCCTAAGGCAAAATGTTTTTGTTTCATGGTTCAATAATAGGTGTAGGGATGAGAAAAGATTCACCAGTTGGTCCTGCCAGAAAAAAAAATGGTAGCAGGATGGCAACATCCTGATTATTCATTTGCAATGATGGAAAGCACTTCTATTTTATTTAAGTCTTTCTGCTATAACTTCATGCAGCCCTCTACAAATCGATCCCGCTAAGAACAGTGATGGTGTGTGTGTAACGTGTGCATTTGCAGTCTCCCCCCCCCCCCCAATTCCTAACTTGCTTTTGGAAGCAAGTTAGGAATTCTCATCTCTCTACCATAAATAGAGAACCTCCTGATCTCCTTGAGAACTATTTGATTGCAATTCATATAACCTGGATGTATTGATTGCAGATGCTGGTAACTGTAAACCTATCATGCTTGTGAAGCTCCTATCTGGAAGAGGGAGAATTATGTCCCTTCCGTGTTCAATGATGCCATGGGATATGGACAGATCTTGGGAAATGGAGCCAGATAACTACTATCTTGGCTTCTGCTCCAGAGACAAGGCTGCCAATATTTGTAGTGTAGCATCTGGAACTGAGAGATGGGTATTTCCTATTGGTGTTACATTAGCATATTTGCCATTTCTTCCCAAAAGCTACAGTTTCTTTTTTCCCCATCTTCTAATATTCTACCTCCATTGTTCCTTCCTCCCCAGTCAGACTAATGGTGTACTTTGCTTTACTGTGCTTTGGCAATATCTCTGTCCTCCTCTTCTCCCCGCTCCCCAATTGGGATTCCTTCCTATTTTATTTATAATTGCAAAAATTACACACTGGAAAAAAATGGATAAAGGTGCAATTTTCTAACAGGCTACCAATGTTTGTGCCCTCCCATTGACTTGCCATAGGAAGCACTTGCGCAATGAATAGGAGATTAGATGGATAGTGGCACAAAGTGTTAGGACATCTGCACAAAGGTGTGAAAGGATTTCCTGGAGGTGACTCATGGCTGGATTGAAGCATCCTGTGGTTGGAGCTCATCTTCCAACAGTATAGGATGGAAAGTCTTTGTTTATATTTTCCCTGATGGATTACCGAATTTAATGCCAATTTCAAAGGTGAGTTGGCTCAATGTTTTTCCATTATCCACAGGGTATATTAATTCCTCCTGCAGTAACTGACTCTTTTTTTAATTCCACAAATCCTGTAGAGGGTCAATGTTTAAAACAAAGCCTTGAGAAAGCTTTAAGACAGGGGTGTCCAACCTTGGCAACTTTAAGACTTGTGGACTTCAACTCCCAGAATTCCTCAGCCAGCTTTGCTGGCTGAGGAAT